TTTGACTAATCTGGCCATATACTGAGAGAAGACTCGATTTCTTGAACATGGGCTGCTTAGTGGTCTCTGCCATGAATTTATTCATCGAGGTGCTCTCTCTCCACCGGCTGCATGCTTGCTGTCCTTAGGAAATGATTATATCCTGTAATCATATCTGTGGGAGGCGCATTTATCTATAGGAACTATACTTGGGAAGTTGTCTTTAAGTAGAATGACACGCTACAACCCAAAGCTATGTGTGCGACTGTAGAATGCGAAGCTGACCAGCTGCTCCGTTTTACCACTAGGTGGAGATAGAGTGATTTTGAGGATTTTTTTTTTTTTTTTAGGGCGGTGAACTAGGGCAAGAACACTTCTACACTTAGCAAGCTGAAAGGGACTTAAGAAATCATTTAGCGTGAAGCCTTAATTTTGCAGCTGAGAAAACTGGGTTTTAGAGATATTAAGGAAAATTGCTTCTGTCTTACAAATGGAAGCCTTCTAGAACTACTAGGGGAAGTTGCTAATAGACCTTGATTTTTCAGCCATTTTCATCCATAGGTTAGTGTGTTATCCTCCAGCATGAAGGAAGACGCGATGTGACACCTACACTGCCTCCATGCTGCCACTAAAACTAAGGACCAGTACAGTGACTTTCACTGGTAAGAACGGGCCAGGACACAATGATCGGTCCTTGTTCCTGTATTGTAATTGATCTCAGCTGAGTGGTAATCGTCCTCCCTTTCTCCAATAAAGAAATACTCAAGCATCTCATGAAGTCCTACGGGATTAGATTAGATTTGTTTTCACATTCCTGGCATTTACACCTGCTATTGGGCTCAAGTTAAGTAGCCTAGAACAGGGCTTCAGAGAGCAGGTTAAGGAAGTTTTTCAGAGCTTGAAATCCGTTATTCTGAAGAAAGGAAAGGAGTGTGACTTGAGGGCTTGAGGGACATTAGGAATGGCCTTCTCCAGCCTCTGTGTGTACACGTTACAGGTGAGAGGCACCTGAGAGGAAGGATGGAATGCGCGGCTTCCGGTGGCAGAGCCCTCGCATGCTTCTTTGTTCCACAGGGGACGCTAACAGGTATTTCGGTCCATATCTTTCTGTTTTGTTTGTTGGTGTGTTTTAACCGCAAAAGGATTATTTCCACTCATCACATCGAAAAGCGTGTTTAAAAGTTAAGTTTTAGGTAGTGTTTCTGGTTTAAAAACTGCTTCCTAAATACCCAAGTATTCGGTGCTATAGTGACATTTGCCTTTTGACATTTCCGTAACATGGTTGATTATGATAATCTAAAATTTCCACCACTGAGTCCTGGCTACTATCATCAACTTCTATACAAAAAAAAAAAAAAAAAAAACAGGTAAAACGCTAAATCAGCATATTCAGAATTCACAAGTCCAAGCAGCCAGGAGCTGCTTATGCAGGTGGCAGGGGCAGAGGCCGCCGCAGGTGTCTGGCCTCCAGCTCTTGCATCACTGGGCCAACGAGGTGCTCAGAACCTGCACGTTTCTGGAGCAGTGGCGGCTCAGTGCAGGTGCTTCGTGGCACTGAGTCACTCGCTATTAAAAAGGCACCACAAGGAACACTCGGGTGACCTAAAACTAGAGCAGGAGCTTAAAATGTAAGGAATACAATGCAGGGGCGCCGATGTCCTGAGGCATGCTGAGAGATGACCGACCAGCCTCCGGCGTGGTCTGAGAAGGATGGTGGAGAGCCGGCCTCCCGGTGTGGTTCAGGGCTGCAGCCCCTGTCCTGGGCTCTGCGAGGCCCCTGGCAAGCTAAGGGCAGCCAGGTGTGGTCCCGCCTCATGAGGTCCGGGTGAGAAAGGCTTGCATCAGGATGCTCACTCTGGAAACTTTCCCTGCCTCATCTCCTGTTCCAGAAGACTGACAGAACACTCCTCCGCAAAGCTCGGTGGAGTCCAGAGTTAATGGGTGTGAAGCGTCCAGGAAGCGCAGAATCTGGCACAGGTGGGGCCTCAGTAAGCGGACCTTCTCTCCATCAAGGCGCTGGCCTCTCTGCGTGGCAGCTTCCTCGCCTTGACTCCGCCCACTCCCACGGGGACCCACAGTAAGACCCCGTGACAAGTACGCCTTGAAAAGTATGACGTTCTACCTACAAATACGGGGCGTTATTATGATTAAAGGTGAAGAGAAAAATGCCTCGGAGTCTGAAGACTCTGGTCTGAGAATATGAAGGGCCCCCTCGGCTGGGAACAGAAACCGACGAGCCATTCCGGAATGGGAGCATTTGGTGGCTGGCAGTGACAGTCGCTTAAACTGAAACTTCCTACTGAGTTGCAGTGCGGAAACCGCACTTTCTAGGACAGCGCCACCCACACCTGCTGATAAAATCATCTACCCCAACGCAGGTGTACACCCACCCTCAGGTCCTAACTGGGTCGGGGGTGGCCCGAGGGTGGGGAGGACAGGTTCCCCCAGCTGGGTGTGGGATGTGAGTTTGTTCAATGACGACGAGCAGAGATGAATAAGGCAAATAAGTTTCTCAATTACTCGGTTAACCAAACCGCCGATGAGCCCATTTGTGCCGCCCAAGCCCGGACAGGGCTCGTGGCTGCGTCGGGGTGTTTTAAATGGAGAAGGGGCGACAGCGTGGCGGTGACACGTGGGGTCCAGGAGAGACCGGGCGGACTTGCGCGCCCCCCGCCCGGCTTCCCGGGCGTACGGGGGCGCCCGTGCCCGGGGCGCGGTGCTGTAGAGGATCTGAACGCGGGGCGCGCCGGGCGGGTTCCCGCTCGCAGGCGGCGCAGGAGGCGCCTCGCCGACCCCGCAGGTGGGGTACTATAGAAAAGTATGTAACACCAAATTTAATAACCTAGAAGAGGTGGACAAGTACTTAGAAGTATACAATCTTCCTAAAGTGAACTGGAGAATCTAAATAGACCAATCAGCAGTATGGAAATTAAAACAATCATTAAAAACCTACCAAAAGTAAAAGTCCAGGACCAGATGGCTTCACCAGTGAATTCTACCAAACATTCAAAGATTTAATACCTATTCTCCTCAAACTCTTCCAAAATTCGAAGAGGAGGCACTACTTCCCAACTCATTTGATGAGGCCAATGTGCTCTGGTACTAAAACCTGGTAAAGATAACACAAAAAGAGAAAACTACAGACCAATATCTCTCATTGCAAACACAGATGCAAAAATCCTAAATAAGATATGAGCAAACTAAATACAGCAATGTATTAAAAAGATTATACACCATGATTAAGTGGGTTTCATCACAGGGTTCCCCGTCCCTGTCCCCATCACCCTTCCTCCCCGCCCTGCCGCCGTCCCCTCTCCCCCGCGCCCATCGCGGCCGCACCCCCTCCTGCTCGCCCACCGCGCGCCCACCGTGCTCCACCTTTTGTTCCGTGATGGCGCGCGGGACGCGGGGCCGTGGAGGATCTGAGCGCGGCAAGGCAGCAGCTTCAGCCTCGTCCCGCTCTCGGCCCCACGGCCCCCGCCCCAGGCCCTCTGCCCGCCCTCACGGGTGAGCCCGGACCTTGGGGCGCGCGCTGCCCAGCAGCTTCGGGCATCCTTGCCGCCCCACCCCCCAACCCGCGGCGGCGGTTAGGCGCGTGGCATCGGCGGCACCGACTTGCGCCGGGGTTGCCCCGCGTGGGGTTGCCTCAGTGGGTGGTGGTCGTGCGCTGCAGGGCGAGGGACAAAGAGATGAGCGGGCGGTGATGGAAAGCTGCACCCCGACACTGCCAGGCCCTCCGCGGAGGCCGCCTGACCGCACGTGGGACGGGCGTGGCCACGAGGCACTTGACGCACAGGCTTCCTTCCAAGGGGAGGGGGGTCCCTGTGACAAGGTTCAAGTTCTCACTCAAAGCACCGCTTCATTTTCTATTCCTGTCCTTTTCTAAGTCAGCGATAATGCCTGCGTGCTGGTTGAGACATTGGGTGCATTAGCAAACACGAACGGACCTTCGTCGCAGGCCACTAGGAGGTGGGATGGAGTAGCATAGCCTGGGTCCTGTCTGGAAGGGGGCTTCCGCCCCTAAGACCACTGTGGGGGCTTTAGAAGCCGCCATCCCACAGCTGATACCATAGCAGCTCCCTGGTGCAGAAGTCACTGCAAAGACCCCCTACTGGCACTTAAGAGACACTCCACCAGCGTTTCTGCAGGACAGTGGTGTCGGCTGGCTCTGCAGGGAATCCTGAGTATTATTTCTGATCCTGTGAGTAAAACAAGAAGTCCGTATTTTATTTATTTTATTTTTTTACTGTAAGCCTAGATCAAGATGACTCTGAAGAAAGCCGTTTACTGCTCTCATATCTGTGTGTGTTCACCTGTGAGGACCAGAGGAAGCTGTTTACTGCCCTCTGGAAGTGATGTGTTTATCAGATGGCTTGTCACTAAGGTTCTAGAATCACGAGGGCTGCCAAGCTCTGTCCACTAGAAATCTGCCCAGAGCGGAGCCCTTCGTTTGCCCATAGTGAGAATGAGTAACGGCCCAACCAACAGCACGAGGCTGCGGCCCTGCACGGGTAGAAGACAGGGCTCGAGGGGACAGTTCAAGCCTGGCTTGATGATCGAGTTTCCTTCTCAATGTTAACATCCAGGGGAAATACACAGATTACAAATTAAATGTGACAGCGATATAGTAATTGAGTTACATAGCTATGAAATGTTTTCTATATTTGAGAGTAAGATTTTTTTCTCATCTATCACCATCATGATTGTGCTCTTTTGCCTCTTGTAAGAGGTAAATTTGTGCTATTTGAGTATCTTAAGATTGGTTTCTGTTTGTGTAGTGTATTTATCAAATATCAATCAGGGGCCCTTTATGTGCCAGACTGTGTGCTGGAGTCGGCAGAATCAAGGTCAATTTCCGAAGTCTGGATTGCTTCCCTGACTTTCAGAAGGCCAGCGTGGCATGGTGGCCGAGAGCTGAGATTTGGAGCCACGCTGCCTGCGTGGTTGGTTCCCAGCTCCATCACCTTGCAGCTGAGTGAGCTAGGAAGTCACTTGCGTGCCTGTATGTCATGTGTGAAATGGAGACAGGGTTGTTGCAAGGCTTCTGTGAAGTCGTATCTGTCAAGTGCTGGCGCGTGGTGAGCCCGGGGTATGCGGTTACCTTAGTTCTTGATAGGTCAGTGACAATGCACACGGCAGAGTAATCACGATGCAACCACCGCTTTCCTTCTGTAAACTGTGACCCTGGTCTTCCTGTCATTTAACACGCTTAACACTTTACAGGCGTGGGGATGGCCCTGCGGAAGATGGGTGCCATAGCCAAACCCGATTGTATCATCACTTCTGACGGCCAGAACCTCACCATAAAATCCGAGAGCACGTTGAAAACAACACAGTTCTCATGTAAGCTGGGAGAGAAGTTCGAGGAAACTACAGCGGACGGCAGGAAAACTCAGGTCAGCTCGCACTTCCCTGGCCACAGGTGCTTCTGAATGGCCGCCTGTTAATGACATTGTCCCTGTCGACAGGCAAGAACTTGATGGAAAAGTCTCGAGTTATGTTATGAACTGAGTCTTGACAACTTAGTAAAAGGACCAGTTCGTGACTTAGTCTACTCGGAAAAAGGGTTTAAGGAGCACGAGAGAGGCTGAGTGTTCTAGACTGAAAAGTGTCAGCCATATCATGAATAAATCACTGGGGCTGGTGATATAGGCCCAGAAAGGAAAAGATGAAATGTCGATTAAGGAGGTTACGAGTCGCGGGAACACTCTTGTAATGAATGCGCTTTGGAAGATTAAGAAGCGTACTTTATTTTTGCAGACTGTCTGCAGCTTCGTCGACGGTGCGTTGGTCCAGCGTCAGGAATGGGACGGGAAGGAGAGCACCATCACCAGGAAGCTGGAGGGCGGGAAGATGGTGGTGGTAAGTGCCAGGCCTGTGTCTTCTGGGTGTCTCGTTTGCGCTCCTACTTCACATCACTGCGCGGGAACCGCTGACCCTGAGCAGGACAGCTGGGGTAGGGAGGGAAGGAAGGACACGCCGAATACGAGGACACTGGTAAGTGAGGAAGCCCTCTGTGGGGTGGAGGAGGAGGGGATGGAGCCGGCGGGTAGCCGAGCGGGCTCGAGGCCACACTCTGCTGCGACATTGCAGAGTAGTCTGGGCAAGCCCCACAGTGCCCTCCGTGGAACGTGCCTCTCCATTTCTTTAAAAAGGGGAATAACACTTGCCAGGACCAAAGCAATCATGTAGATACTGCCAATCAATACTCTAGTGTTCAGTGACGCATATGCACATCTTAAGCAAAATACCAGCGTCTAGCTTTGCAAACCCAGGAGTCCTAAGCCGTGTCTTCTCCGTGTGTGAAGCAGATGACGAGGTTTGGTAGTTTTCAGATCCTAGCACGTAACTGCCACCATCATCCTGGGATGCAAGACTCACCTAAGTCTTCAATGTCGCTCTTTCTCTTAGGAATGCGTCATGAACGACGTCACCTGTACCCGGATCTATGAAAAAGTAGAGTAAAAATTCCATCATCCTCTGGACAGGAATTAGCTGCGAGTTTAAACGGGCTCAGTTCAATGAGCAGATCTCTATGATTTTTTTTTTTCATTACTGTGTTCAATTAACAAACGTTTTACATTCAACTATTTCTGAGTGTTGGTTTAATTAGGATCATCCCTTTGGTTAGTAAATAAATTTGTTTATGCTAATCCAGCGTTGTATGCTTTTTTTTTTAACTTTATAGGAAATTAGTGATGAGTTTTAATAATAATGAATTGCATAAATTCTGAGATAATCTTGAGCGTGCTACATCAAGGTCACGTTTTAGTAATTTATATAGAGAGTTATTTCTGTGGCAAATACGCTACCAATCATTTAAGCTTGCCCTCTGCTATTCGAACTTTAGCGACTGAAGAATCTTACATTTTTGGCAGAGACCGGTGAAAAATTGCCACGTAAAGTGTTAGAATAGGTTAAATTCCCAAACACCCGTAATTCACATTTGGAAAAACAAGTTTATAGTCACTGGGCTCCAGCTGTGTGCGTGACCCCCAGAGCAGCGCTCGGAGGAGCCAGCACATCACCCGTACTGTATGAGAGAAAACGGTTTTGAGTAGCTTGTGTGTCCGAGGGCGCAGGAAGTACTAGGGGTGGACGAGACCGACACCTCCTCGCGTCCGCTTAGTGACTGTCCATCATCCCTGACACTGCCTCTTCTCAGCTCGTGTAAAGACCCCGAGTCTGAAGTCCCTAAAGGTGATAACTGAGACTTTTCTGAAACCACCCTCCATGCACTGGGATGCTAGCAGGGGCGGGGGACCTGAAGAGTGACCGGAAGCTGGCGTCGGTGAAAACGTCCGCTCCCTGACACCAGCCCTGTGCTGTCCGGTGTGTAGCCAGGAGCCACATGTGGCTGTTGGCCACTTGAAGGGTGGCTTGTCTGAACTGAGAGGTGCTATAAGTAAGACACACCTTGGATTTCAAGGACACGATATAAAAAAAAGTAAAATGCCTCTTTTTTTGTAATATTGATGACGTTAAACCTTTTGGATATAATTAGTTACCTAAATAGTTGTTAATAAAATTAATTTTACCTGCTCCTTACCTTTTTTAACATGGCTAGGAAGAAATGAAAGCTTCACGCGCTGGCATGTTCACAGCCTCCGTGTCTAGTGCCTTTCCCAGGTCGAAGGTGTGTGGCCCCCTGCGCTGGGCGACTGTCGGCTCCATTTTTCCAATAGCATCGTCGTCCGTGTCTCGTCGCATTGGGGTCATTCGCTATTTCAGACTTTTTCATTGTGCTGTTTGTTAGGGCGATCTGTGATCAGCCATCTTTGATGTCACTGTGACTTGGAGTGCCACAGACCACACTCATTAAGACTGCAAAGGGCTGTTCCCTGTCTCTCCCTCTTCCCCGTGGGCCTCCCTGTTCCCAGACACAACAATAATTAACCCTACAATGCCCTGCGGTATTCAAGTGAAAGGAAGAGTCACCCGTCTCATTTTAAATCTAAAGCTGGAAACGACTAAGCTTGGTGAGGGGACGTGTCGAAAGCCGAGACAGGCCGAAAGCTAGGCCTCTTGCGCCAAACAGGCAAATTGTGAAAGCAAAGGAAAAGTTCTCGAAGGGAATTGAAAGTGCCACTCCAGTGAACACACGAGTGGCAAGAAAGTGCAACAGCCTTACTGCTGACGTGGAGGACTTTTTAGTGGTCTGGGTAGAAGCTCAGACCAGCCACAGCATTGCCTCAGCCAAAGCCTAACCCGGAGCGAGGCCCTGACTCTCCCCAGCCCTGCTCTGCGAAGGCCGAGAGGCGAGGAGAGAAGCTGGGAGAGAAGCTGGGAGCCGGCAGAGGCTGGGCCGTGAGGTTTAAGGGAAGAAGCCATCGTTTACTGTGGTCTGGAACCAGCCCTGTGATATGTTTTATTGGACGGTGCTGCCCTGGCCTTGCTCCTCTGCTTGAATTTCCATCTTGGTTATTCTGGTTTCCACCCCAGAATCCCTCTTCCGTCTCGTTTTCCCACTTCTAATAATGACGTGCATTTATAGGATTCTCCCTGAGCCAAACACTGGGCCAAGTCCTCTCAGAGTTTCGTGATTCTGAGAACCACCCGACATGACGTGTGTCCACCGTTACGTTATCATTCCGTGGAGGACATCGAGGCTGTGCCTAAGCAGTGGTCCCAAGCCAGACAGCGAGCACACAGCAGGGGGCACCCTGGGGCACAGGTCCCTGACCGGAAGGCCTGTGCTAGCAGCCGCCATGTTCCAGCTCATGTCTTTTGGTCGTGGGCCTTGAGGGATTGCTTGGGAGAGAGTGGGCCTCTGGGAGGGCTGGCATTTGAACTGAGAGAGCTTTTCTTCACTGAGCTGGGCCGTAGCGGCATTGTAGGACTCAGCATCCTAAGATCTGTCTACCCCGAACACCCTACACAGTTCCAGATGTCCCCTGAGGGGATGGCGCTGTACCTAGTCGAAGACCACCAGGCATCTCGACTTCATGTTCTCTGATGTCAATTAAGGCCTTCCTTCTGCTAAGCAGTCCTTTGATGTCAATCGACCCCTAATCCAAAGAGTTGTCTTAAATATCACAGGAGCTAGTGAGCACGAAGCACCCAGCACAGGGCCTGGCACACAGTAAAGGCTTAATGTCTCTCCACTACTGCCCAGCAGAACTTCCTGCAAAGCTCCGTGACATCTGCAGTGTCCCAAGCAGTACACTAGCCTCACGTGGCTGGGTATTGAGGACTTGAGAAATGTACAACCGAGGAATTAAATTTTTAATTTTACGTAATTGTAATTAATTAAAATGTAAATTTACCCACACGTGGTTAGTGGCTGCTGATTTGGACATCGCAGGACGCTAATCTCATTTTCTAAAATCGAATTTCTTATTTTTCATTCCAAACCTACTTCTCTGTTGGTATTCTCTTTCTCAATCCCTGGGAATGTTATTTTTTCTATTCCTGGGCTAAATGCCTCGTAGTTATCTTTCTTTTTCGTGCCGTATCTAATTCATTAGCCAATTGTTTCTGCTTTATCTTAAGACTTTATTTAGAATTCAGCTGCCCCCCTCTCCACAGACACCGCCCTGGTTTGAACGCCGCTATCATCTCTGCTCTGAGTCCTCTGTTTGCCTTTTCATTCCCCCAGAGCTATTATCTCAAAACACACGTTAGAGTGTGTCACCTCCCGGGCGAGAGCCCTCCACACGCCTCTCACTCCGCTCGGAGGAGAAGCGCAGTCTTCGCAGGGGGCCCGGCTGATCTTGCCTGTGTCTCCCAACTCCCAACGCCCCCGCCTGACTTCTCCCACTGCTCTCCTCTCAAAGATGTCCCTCCGGCCCTGGCCGTGGATGACACGAGGCTGCCCGCTGCCTCAGGGCCTTCGCACCCGACGCTGCCTCCGCCTGCAATAATCTTCCCTCGGGAATCTGCGGCCTTTTTCAGCTTCCTCTCTTCCGTCGGGTCTTTCCCCAGATGTCACCCCAGCAGGGAGGCCTTCCCTGTCCCCCGTGCCGTCCTTGCCCTTATCACCAATACCGGTGATGCGTTTACTTGTCTGTTTGTTTGTTTGTTTTATTATAATCTGTGTCTCCACTGGGAAATAAGCTTCGTGAAGAAGCGGCTTTGTTTTTACAGTGTTCTCCCCTGTCACTCAGCAGTCGACCCAGCATACGGAAAATGCTCGATAAATATTTGTTGAATGGATAAATTCATTAATAAATGAATGGTTTCTTTGTATCCGTCTGACACCTTTTAATATCACTCAAGACCTTTATGATTTTGCTTCAATTTATTTTTAAAACTGTATTTTTTAACCTTTATATGAATCATTCTACGTTAATGAGGCCTTTTACTGACGGGGGAAGGAACGTGCTTGGGGACTGTAGACTAGAGTGTTTGAAACAGGACGTAAGGAATTCTACCTGGTTTCTGAGCTGGTATGTCGGTCCCCCACCCTCACCCCCCGGGAAATTGGCTACCCAATGCCAATCATCACATAAAATTTATTTTACTGCAGCTGAGTCTCTCATAACTTGACTTGAGTTGTTTGTGCAACCTGGTGCCAGTTAGACACAATTTACTACGAGTAAGATGGTTTACCATGGATTAAACTCGCACAAAAGAAAAACGTTCAGGCCAGAGATGACTTAACTTTGGGACCATGTCCCTGAGCACTTCCAGGCCATCATCTGTTCCCTTCAAGCAGAATATGAGTGGCTGAGGGTGGCGGCTATGGTGAGTCACAGCTGTGAGATCTTTGCAGGTACCACGAGGCTTTGGCGTCTGCTTGTATAATTC